ATATTATATAAATATTACAATAATATTATAATATATATATATATATATAGACTATAATACACGTACAATATTTTTATGATTATTAAGACATCAAGACTTGACAAGTTGCTTTTTTTTTTCATCTTTTTTCAAATGGTAATTATACGATAGATATACAAGGATGATTATTATAAAGACAACGTTTCGTGCGCGTACCTTCACACGGGCATTATGTACTCAATTTCCTCAAAGGAGTTATTTTCATCTCGAGACGCGTATGGCATTCGCTAAAGCCTATATTCACTCTGGGTACTACTGCATCGAACTGGTTTTAATACGGTATAATCATAATTATTATACCGATTTTTATGTTTGGATTGCATGTGGACACCGCGCGGTAGGTATACACTCGGAATGTTATACGCGGATTAGGTCACATTTACTCTTGTAATGGGGCGTTTAGAGAGAACAACAGAATAAATTATAATAATAAGAATAATAATAATAATAACGACGACTCTGAAAACGCACGCGGTGAGTGTTACAAAATTGACCGAACAAATATCATCGAAAATCGTTGTGAAACCAATGCGTACAAAATAACAATGTAAATGCATTTAGATTGTATTGGATTTGTTCTTATTTTTCTGTCGAGCTTACGAAATGTCATCGGAAGGAAAACGTGGGTAATGCCCGACAGATACGTTTTTAAACAGCTTAACTTATTATATTATAGATTGCGGAAAACAGTTCAGTACCGTTGCAGTACTATGATGTATTACAGTTATTGGCTGACGTGCATAGATAAACGTTTGTTATGTTATTATTTTTATTTTTTACCTTGAGAGATCGCGCGGTACGTCGATACGCTTTTCTAGGATTAACCGATTGACATTATATTCGGACCTAATGGATATTCATAAACACTTTCTACGCTATTTTTTGTTGTTATTTCATCGGGACCAAAAACGGAGACAAATTATCAGTGAATAGACAATGATGATAAAAATGGATCAATGTTGTTAAAAAGGAAAAAAAATAGTAGACTAACAGCAACATAAGAAGTACAGGGACGAGGCAATGTACCACTTTACGTGAGTGAGTTCTGTATTCAATAAACAATCCTTGAGCTACTTGATTGAAAATTACTAATAATTCACTAATTTAGCATGCAATATAATTGAAGCGAATTAATTTTGCCTCATATAAAATACGCTATTGACTGGATAATATTCTGTCTAATTTATTATAATATATGTATATAGTATAATACAAGTAAATTTTAAATGTAAATGTATAAGATGTAAATCACGTAAAAAACCGAATAGAAAAGTTACCTTATAAAATTCTTCATAAAGTAAAAAAAATATAAATATTTCAAAGTTATATAATTCTACAATTTGTTATTGATGAAATACAACTTTATACTCGATAAATTAACAAATAATACTTGTGTATTTATAAAAGGAATCAAATTATATTAAATATCCATGGTTATCCATTAATTATCTCAATTATTTTCGTTGCATTAAATATATTCCTGTATTCCGCGTTAATTGTTTTTTTTAAGATATTTAACAGAATAATTAATCAAATTTAAAATGTTCTTAACATTATATTGTGTGCACATAAAATTGTATATTTTGATAATAATTGTACACGTTTATACATATCTTACTATCATAAAATCAGTTAAACTCTTACTATATAGTATATAGGAAATACGATTTTACCTTATAGTTTAATTCATAATCAATCATATTTAATGCACTATTATTATTTTCAAAACGTTAGGAAAATAAATGTTTTATACATACGTACATATCTATTCATAAACTGCCATAACAAATGATAATCGGTGGGAACAGTCACGAAATTTGAACGAAGTGCGCGCAATAAACTGAAACGAGTCGCTAAGGAAAAATTGTATTGTTATCTTTAAAAAATATAAAAATATACTTTGATGCATAGAATGCAGGAATAGAAATAAAAATCTTGACCCATGCGCGTTCAAGGAAAAACGCGAACAATTATCTTTCGTTTCCTGTCGGACTTCTATTAATGATATTTATTATTTGCAATAATTATGATCGGAGTTTATTATTTCGATAATGCCGTAAGTAAGTCCCTGGCCCCCGTCTTTAAGCGGCCGACCGTTGTCATTTGGAGGTTACATAAATACGCACCTGTATGATATGTATAATATTTATTGTACACGTTTCATTTATTATCTATTATTTACAACAATATTGAGAAACAATTGGAAAAAGACACGATCACGGTAACTCGTTCGAAACTGGTTTCGCGAGCGAAAAGCCAAATAACTATTTTAAACAAATAACACGCCGAAGACAAGAAAACGCGCGCTGTATGAGAAACAAATCATTATATGGCCGTAAATAATTTCCAATATTGTATGCGTGTGCATAATTCAAAGCGGACGCCGTGAGAACATGTGAAACTACCGAAGGCTGGATTAAGACTTTGATGTGATCGCCTTTCTATCTCCGAACAGGGACAGGTCATCCGAAGTTATGCGTGGCGACCATTCGTAATGAGATACTATTTCAAAACACGTATGCTGAAAATGGTGCGACCGCAGAAATCCGCTAGTGACCAGTATATTAATAATAATAACAATAAAATATTTTTAGAGATATTTTTATTTTATACGTATCTTGTATCTTAGGTCATGATAGCAGCAAATGCTTATTTTATCACTAGGTGTTTTTTCATACGGTCGACCTCGGTCATCATTCAGAGGATACGCAATAAGGTTGTAGAAACTTTAGACCCAGTCCTCCGTTAACGCTCAAAAAATTTCTTACATATCTCACCCGAAAAAGTATTTATTAAAACGAGAAATCAAAGAGTAAATCATTTACAGGACGAAATAACTTCATACTAACACATTCATTCATGAGGTAATTTAAACTTGCGGATAATTGTATGCCTTTTTATTGCAAAACCCACGTGTCGTTATACTCGATTATTTACTTTTGATACAAAAAAATATAAAATAAAATGTTGTTGAGTTAATTCGAAAGACAAGCAAATTATTATTAAAATAACAAGTCAACAGTCTTTTTAGTTTCCCCGTAGTTGCACGCCCCTGAAAAAAAGTGAAGCTTTCGTCGTGGATGTGATTCGGAAAATGGGAGAAATAAGACAAACCACAATTATGCACCTGTTACATTAATACAATAAAGATATAACAAAAATATTTCGATTCGCCATAAAGTTCTCTTAAGATTGATTTAGTTATAACTCTAAATCTGAGCAAAATGAACACTTGAGCGTTTACACACTCAATTCCTGTAAAACTCACGAGGTATCAACATGAAAATATAGGTAATTTGATCTTGAGTCGACTTTACAGTACACTCGAATAAAAATTCAAGTTGCGTTTCAATTACTCGGTTTCGCGTATAATAGACAGAGCAGCAGCATACCAATTGGATTGGCTTCCGGTATGCGGACTTATTCGTACAATCCTCAAGTTCTATATTTCCATACAAACTTTTCGTTTTGTTAGCAATGCACGTGTGTTATACTCTTTATTCGACTGTATAGCACTCAGAATATCGTCTGTTTCAATAATTGTACGCGGCTGTTGCACCGGAAGAAAAAAACCACTGTTGGTAAACAAGCGAAAAGATCGGTGAAAGAATATGAATAATATTTATAATAATAATCAAAGCGGGTATGATTTTTTTTTTATAAACGATCGTCCGGGCAACGAATGGAGTAGTGTTGGGTTTGGACATTGCGTTTTCGATTATCTGTCCGACACCGGTTAATCGATCGATGTAATAGATTATGCTAATTTGACAGCAGCCGAACTCTCTCGGAAAATGAAACGTTGACTTTTACTGAAAATAATAATAACTATATAAAGTCGGACGGCATCGCGGTGTTCGGACACACATTCGTACTTCGTATTTCAACACAATAATATTATTATTTATCGGACCACGGTATTCTCCTTGTTGAACAGCTACGGCACCGGTTACACATATAATACGTCGTCGTATGCGCACCAACTCACTCTGTATTCGATGTCCGTACACATATAGTGTATATTAATATTCTGTTTTCGATATTCGTCATGCCTTGACACAACGATACAGCAAGTTCAGCAACACGTACGCATTTTAAATCGTAGCAATTTGTCTTACGATTTCGAAGTGATTTCATAGACCCGCGCGTGAATTTATTGTACGCACTAACCTTTTCCCGTTAATAGTAAGACCGTTTCGTAAATATAAAGAAATTATATAATTCAAATCACGTAGTTGAGTGCACATAAAGCATAGGGCTTGATTAAAAATATAGCCGATACACGTGTTACATTAAAGTCTACTATAGTTACAAAACAATGTTTGTTTAAGATGATTATTACAGTCCATACAGCGTAATAATTAAAGTTAAACGCGGTTATATATCACCCTATTACATTCCACGTCCAGCGATTCGTCATGATTATGTATCGCGTTTTTGTAACCGTTGCGTTTGTTTTCAGGGATTTTCGTGTCTGGACCTGCTGAACGCGGGCATGAAGCAGTCCGGAGTGTACTATCTACAAATCCGTGGTACGGCGTACTGGTACCTGAAGGTGTACTGCGAACAGGAGATTGCGGACGGCGGTTGGACGGTAAGTGCGCGCGGACGAAAAAAAAAAAAAAAAAGACGCGAGCACCCGCGGAGGGGCGGGAGAAGGGTTTGCGTGTAAGACGTACAAAAGGACAACCGAACAACGTGTTATTACACGATGGTGCGTCGCTCACGACGACCGTGTGCTTTTCACGCGCTCCGATTAGGATGTATAATGATAATAACAAAAAAAAAAAAAAAAACCGTCCGAGACGACGTACAGAACATACCCACTGCACTTTTCGTTATTGTAATTTTTTAATGTATTATTATTATTTTTCGAACAACCTCGACAGCGGTTTCCGACGCGAATCCGTGTCGTCGTGTTCGTGCGCGCCCGCAGAGGGACTTTTCGAGTCGAAAACGCGTCGCGCGCGCACCATTGTTGTCGCGCGTCCCAAGGTCTCCGGCGGTCAGTCGTACGGCGTTCGCGCGTGAAAGGCGCACGGGTACGCGCGTAACGCACGCATCGAATAACGGCGGCTGGGCGAAAAAAACTGAAAAAAAAACCAGTGCAGATCGACGGCGACGCGTTTTCGTACGGTTTTTTTGCGTTGTCGCCGCGATCGCGCCTACCTCGTCCGCCTCAGCGCGAGACCTTGCTGACGGCCGGCAGACGCGTTCCTAAACGGTTCGTCACCGCGGGCGACGTGTCCCCCCCCCCACCCACCGCGCGCGCGGTCTTCGAAAACCGATCGGCGGCGAAACAAAAGGAGACCTTCGCGGCCCCGGCGCGACGCCGATGACAAGTCGTTTAGCGGTGCGCGCGCGGTCGGACTACCGTTGCAGCGGTCACGGACGCTCGCGCGGTACCGCGGTCGGTTAGCTCGAACGCGGTGGTGAACGGAACGGGGCGATTAATGAACTATAACGCGCCGTGGAATCCTCTCGAAACACTTCGCTACGCCCTCTGCCGCGACGCCCAGAGCCTTTTCTCCAAAAGAGTCTTCTTGTTGTCTTCCAACGGCTTAGCCTTGTCGTGGTCGAAAAATAGATCTCTCTGTTCCTAAGAATACCGAAAACAAACGAAAAGCGCGGTGACGCGTTTGGTGTTTAAATCCAAACGATTTTGTGTTACCACACTCCAATTACTATTATATTCGAGTTGTTCGGTGCCAAAGGTTTTTATTTATTTTTCCAACGCCAATCATATACGCTTATGTCATAACGGTTTAATGTGTTGACGAAATCAACCCTTTAACGAGTGAGATATTGATTTAACGGATATACTCGTATATATATTATTTTAATATCACGCATATAAATAATATATTATTTTATAACCCGTTGGGTAATTAGGCTTTAACCGTGATTAAAACATCACCCATATAGCATCTACTTATCGCCTTCTCCCCTCTCAGATACGCTTCTGCGGACAAGCGATGTTTGACGACCGGTAATCAAACGTGACGTTTAGAGAACAGAAAACGGTCATTATTTACCAGTGGGGAGAGGGCGTCAATGGACGTGTTCGTACGGGGCGAGTAAAACTAATTCCCGAACGTGGGCGATCGAAGTTTAGTGGAATCGAAAACGAACAGACCAACTACTCTCTGTTGGATAATGGATTTCAGAATAATGTCTCTTACAGCTCTTCGAAACGTGTTGATTTCACGTATTTTACAGTTGATACGTGTGCTTTACGCACGTTGTCGCGCCAAATAATTCTTTCGATACTATTATTATTTCCACTTGTCCCTTATGACGATGATGCATGAATATTATGTTTTCCGCATTAAACTCCTCGAAATCAAGCGGTAATTGTGCACGATGCCTGGGGGTGAATGTAATAAATAAATTATAAATTAACCTTTACATTTAGAGTACAAATTCTTCGGAAAAATGCGTACGAATAATAAATGTTATGATGACTATTTATTAATGAACTCTAACAATACCGAACATGATCAACTTAAACTCTAATTCTGCACGTTTATAATATAAATTTTACCTTTAATTAATGAATACAATAAATAAATTATTATATACATAACAATTTTATAAGCTAAATGTGTTATGTTTTATACGTAACAATCGAAACACACACAATAAAATACATTAGCTGTGTACTTGCTTACATAATTATAGCACTCAGATGGCGTGTAATTCAGTAAATTTAATAAACTCCTTATATCCAAAGTAGGTCAATTGTTACTGTCAATTATTCTTATAATGTTATCCTAAAACTTTCATTTGTTTTTGACATCATCGATCTATAGACATTTTACTATACATGCGTTTAAAAAAAACCCTGATTTGATTGTTTATAAATTTAATCAGTACCTATAAAATATTGTTTAAAAATATTTAAAATACAATCACCATAAATATACTAGAACAACTGTATTATACTGATTTTCATTAAACTAAAAAACAAAAGATTAAAAATCCAAAATCCTATAATCGGTAATCTAATCATTTATCGATAACGATCAATATAACAAATTCATATTTCATTAGAATATGTATAGGCAGTGCCAGTGAGCTAATATGTTCTCGTAATATCTGCATAATTTAAAATAGTATTTCTACGAAAACTTATTGTATTTGATTGTGAACTATAAGAATGCGAATTGAAATCATAAATTCAAAAAATAGACTCGCGTGTGTTGATCAAAACGATGAAAGATAAATTGTAGAATATGCATCATTCATAGATAATAAATTATACGAAACACTTTGGAAAAAATCTTTTAGGGTCGATAAAAGGAAAAAAAAGTAGTAATCCTTTCCCTGATCATGACGTATACTGTTACTGCAACGCTCGTGTTCACGATGTTATAACATTAATTATTATACGTGAACGAACATCGATCGTACGTAAAAAGTAATAATTACAATCGACAACAACCGATATTGCTCGTTCTCGTATGCATATAATATAAATCCACACGCGATTACCCATTTTCTTTAACGGAGTAAAACTGTATTTGGTAATACTATCGTGCTATCGTGCATCTGATTATATGTATTCGCGCAGAAATGTGTATCATGCGATTATAATAATATTGGCCTGTATATGTGTGTTGGGAAAAATTTGAACCAATTTTACTATACGTACTGTGCACACACACGCACAATATAATTACATATTATATGGTTTTTGTATGCACGTTCCACTATGGGTGAAATCAAATATTTTTCATGTTTTTTTTTCTAAAACCATTTCAAATAGTTATTTTGTAATAATAAATTTATACAGTTTACGGGCTACAAATATTATAAATTGGTGGATTTTTTTTATGAATAGTTTTTAGAAAAATATCAATTAATAGAGCGAATTGTTTTTATTTTTAGTTTAATATGCGCAGATGTATACAGTGTACGCACATACATATAAATATATTATAATATATATATATATATATACGTACCTATAAAGTACAGAGTGTAATAAATCAAAATTTTTACGCGTTATTATTTAAAAGCATTTTTTTTCTCCAAAGTATAATATATAAATATATAATCGAGAAAGTATAATTAATCAGTTTACGTGTCAAATGCTCGCGACCAATGAACGCTCATCTGGTCTGTCTTATTGGTCGTACGTGTACATGTAATTTATATTATTGCGTTAGCGCACTCGTGCATAAACGCTCGAATTATCTAATACTGCCGCCTAATATTTAATAATATTATATTTAAATGACCAATCATGATAGCATTAACATCAAACTTCGAACCGTTAGAATTATTATACGATTTAAAAATTACCATACGACAAAAATTCAAAACTCAACACTGTTTGGTACACCTATTATATTATAATAGAAACATTTTCCTGAACTAAACTAACCTAACACACAATTTTGAACAATATTTAGGTATTATTTATTATTTTTTATACCTAATGCTCTTTCTCGAATCGTCGTCAACGTTTTTTTTCCTTCAAGTTTTTGTCCCAATCAAAATTATTAAACGTACGTGTAAACAATACCATATGTTTCACGATACATATTTGGTTCCTTACAATAGTTTAGTTTCGAAAAAATAATTTCGTTTGAATTTTCTTCTTGTCTGTGTTTACGCATTATGTAAATTAATTTCCCGTTTCATAGTGCATTTATACAGTTTACAAGATATTTAAATTACTAACTAAACCAAAACCTTGAATATCATATTATACGAACGTCATAACAATTTTAACGAAACAATTATTGTTTAAGCATTTAGTTCTAGTTATGACTAAAAAATCGATGTGTCCGGATTACCCATATTATCTTTATTTTTGTTCGAACGATGTATATGTATATATATATATAGTTTATGATAAAATATATATATATATATATATATATATATATAGTTTATGATAAAATATAATATTTTATCATCATATTATGTTCTCGCTTACCTATTATGATTAAATACAAAGCTGATTTATAATGTTGTAGGTCATTCAAAGAAGAGACGATATCGGTGACCCGATACGTGAAAACTTCAACAGAGACTGGACCGATTATAAAAACGGATTTGGCGATCCCACAAAGGAGTTTTGGATGGGAAATGAAAACATTTATATGCTGACCAGCAACGACGAATACATGCTGAGGATCGAGTTGGAAGATTTCGAAGGAAATAGAAGGTGAAAAATATACGGTTTCTATTTCATAGAGAGTGATATTGAATAAATATTACTGTACAAAAAGTCAAAAAAAAAAAATGTACTCAAGATAAACTATGTATAGTATGTATTGTATGTGTTATAATCGAGTTTGTCGGTTTTTTTTTTTTCAGATACGCTCAATACTCTCATTTCAAAATTTACTCGGAATCTGAGTACTACAAGTTGGAAATCGACGGATACGAAGGCAACGCGGGAGATTCATTGAACGACCCGTGGTATGGAAGCAATAACAGTCCGTTCTCCACGTACAACAGGTTTGTGATGGGTCAAAAACGATATTATAGCGCAATAAATTACTAAAATATAAAATATGTCGACACAATATAACACTTGTTACGTTTTTTTTTTTTTTTTGTTCTTCAGAGATAATGACCGATCAAGTTTGAATTGTGCGTCGATGTTGAAAGGAGGATGGTGGTGGAAGTCGTGTGGCAGAGGACTCAACGGATTATATTTGAACGATCCACAAGACTTAACGGCCAGACAAGGTAAAAAGGGGTGAACATAGGCAGCACAATAATCATGAATGAACGTTTCACGGTATTGCATTGAAAAACCGTGTGATCGTTGACTACAAACACAACCAGTTAAACTCGAATTATGTTTTTATTAACAATAAACCTCAGGCATAACTCGGTACATTTATAGTGTTATCGTATTTAATATTTCTAAACGAGGAAAAACGTATTAGTAAAACTGTAATCGATTTGGGTACATTTTATTTGAATCGTTTGACCACGCACGCTATGGTTCGCCGATTAGAAAAGCGCATGACGTCATAATGCAAGAAAATAGGTAGTCTAAAAATAACACAAACCCAACGGACAGAATACTTGTACGAGGAATGTCGATGCAATACGCGAGTAATATACATTTTAATCTTAATCAAATAATTAATGCTTTCGAATTCGTTTACGTAATAATTTGTTGTGCGCTGAAGAAATATATTATTATTATAATTTAACCGTCAATACATTTGTCCCGTTAGTTGTTCACTTCGATGCGGAGGGATTCATTAGCGTGAAAATTTGTTTAATTTAAAAAGACATTTTCAACGTATTTCAAAACCGACCGGCAAACGGTCTGCACTCGAGAAAGTAATATCTTCAAAGTACACTGAACCTAGTTATGCGTACACGTAACGTATTTTAAAATTAATCATAACCGTTGTTACGAATGTTTCGGGTATTGTAATCAGATTAAAATTAAATATGCGCACACAGTATGCACACATAACGGAATAGGTGCGCGACTCGTGAGCCAAACTTTAATGGTTGTATGGGAATTAATTAGTTGTGTTATACGATAATAACGTAGAACTATCTACACCTAGTTGCACGAAATAAAACGCGATTTATAATTTAGGAATCGTGTGGTTCCGTTGGAGAGGATGGGATTACACGCTGAAGAAAGCACAAATGTTAATCAAACCAAAGGTCACCGTTATTCCGCCACTGCCCGTCGTCAATGCCGTTTGAACGACGAAAAGATGTTTTGGTGTCATAAACAACGAGCGCGAACAATCTAATGTTAGTAAAAGAAGAAGAACAGATTTGGAAGTAAACCATCGACAAAACATCGTGGCGTTTTTAAATTAGGCTCAAAACCATTACTATTCTGTTTTTTTCATTCACCTTAAAACGAATTTTAGTAAGTCTATGGTAATATAACAACCAATTTTTTTATTTTAATTTTTTTTTCTTCTTTTTTTTGTCGAATCAGAAGGCATAAAATTATAAATGTAAAAATGTATTTATTTTTGTAAATATATTTAAAAAAAATGTGCCGTATATATAATTATATATATAGGTGTATAAGAATATTATTTAGTATTATTAGACGAACTCTGTGTAGTTATTTGTCTTTTTTTTTACCTTATTAATGATATATTAGACAATATTTAAACGTTTATGTATATATAAAATATATGTATTGAAATTCATCTTATTCATGAACATCTGTTCTATCTCTACACTACGTTCCTTTTAATCTATCATCCTTTTGTTTGTGCAAAAATAATCTAATAAAATTTTAAATATTACTACGAACCGGTGACGTCGTTTAAATTATTCCGTTCTCCTTTTCAACGTGCGCACGTGAAATCCAATCCAACGATCACTGCGTGAAAATATATAATTATGTACTACCGTATGACGTGAACGTCGGAATTGTTCGGTAAACGGTTCTATTGCGGTCGTGTACATTACCAACAAATTCTCGCCAAAATGTACTGAATTAAGTGTTTTGATAATATACTACTTATGATCACTTATTGATACGATTGTTAGATCGCATGGACCATCAGCACTGTGAAATTATTTCGACCACCTAAGGTTAACATAAAATAAAATTCCAAGTGCGAAATCAATAAATATTGTAGATCGAAGGTACCAACTTTATCAGTGTGTTTACAAACTGTACACATCACGGTGACCTACCGCTTAACTCATTCATGATTGACGACCTCAATTTTCAATTTGTTTTATTATGTGCAAACGTTAAGTATGATTATGCTATATTTTATGGGTACACTATGTTTTCGATATCCGATGAAATTAAAGTCCGGCTGTCAGAAATTGTTTATAAGTTTGAAAAAATCAAGTTCACGCCCGTAAAAGTGCACACCTAACCATCATTGCGTTCGCTCCGATTTCTCGAAAACAATTATTCCATAATCAATATCTGTCCAAGATTAATTAGAAACAAAAACGGTCAAGGAGACAAAGTGTTAACAGGCAGACGTGATATGTATTCGGTCGAAAACGATTTGTGTACGATAGAAACGTACTTGATTTTACGTACTTGCGCAGCCGTAATGACCGATGAAATTACTACTTATACCGAGTAAAGTGCGTGTACCGCTTAGCAAATGACAATTATTGCAATAGTCACAGATTCAATTACCGCGTTTGATGCAACGGACCGTGGAACCGAAAATAGCAAATAATATTAGCGTGTTGAGTAACGGATCGTACGTCGTACGTTATTAGATTGGTACGCCAACGTGCGGCGTACAAGAGTTAAAACAAAGTAAATATTACGCTGCGGAGCTCGACTAAATATCAAGGCTTGGCGTTACCGACTTATAAAGTTGGATTAAACAAAGATGAAGACAAATAAAATACTGAGTTACGTTTGATTTGATTAAGTATTTTAAGAGCGAATGTTTACTCTCGATAAAAATAATTGTGGAAGTATTGAATAGTCACTATTCTTGGATTTCAACAGGGATAAAAATAACGTTCATGAGTACAGTTTTTAATAAATGTTGTATTGTATAGTAAAAAAAAAAAAAAAACAAAATAGCTTAATTTTAACCTAGTTAAGCCATATTTTTTTTTTTTTTTTTTTTTTTTTACTTAACTCGTAACTTTTAAATAAAAACAGAAATGAATTTTAACTTCTTTCAATTCCCCAGTCTTGCTCAACTGCTTTATATTCGATCGGTTTCATGTTATTACTTTGTACCTACTATGTCATCAACGTCTCTTGTCGTACGGCAACCGACGCCGTAACGTAATAATATTATTAAACGCACTTTTGTAATAACACACGCGGTGCCTACTACAACGTATAATAATATCGTATATATTATTAGCGATCGATATTACTTTATAACGATATTGTAACGTCTGCATAGTTTATTATAATACGTAGTATGTACGTAGTACGTATAGCGTTGACCTACATCAACTCACGTCGAAAAGATATTACATCGGATTGGATGCGTGTCTGTATGTGTGTGTGTGGATTTAGTGAGTTTTTTCTTTCCGAGGCCTACTCGCACACGCATACGCACACGCCCGCGAGATGGTTGTCGTGAAAATAATACGATAACTATTATGGAATTTCATCAGTTTAAACATGCGTTATGGAACGGGGATGGAGTCGCCCCTAATTTATTACCGATTAGTGTTAAAACTTTACAGGGTTTTTCAACGATTCAAGATTTTCAAACGTTCATTATGGACGATTTTAAAGTTTATATCGATTCAGTACGTGAATCGCATTATCATTGTTTAGTTTAACGATACATATTCCATATTATGTTCCTCAAGTTATTTTATATTTTTTTTTATTTTTTTTTTTTTTTTTTTGTTTCACGTTATAATGAATGCTAACACCCTACTCAGCTCTATTTTATTTACTGACTAAACGGTCGAGATGAGAATTGTTCATTACAATATTAAAGTGATTTAGTTTAATAAGCGAACTGTTGGTATGAAATACAATAGAAAATAATGCGAGTTTAGTTGATGTAAGTTAATATGATTATGTTCAGTATAATTATAAAAAAAAAAACCATACGTTTATATTTTTAAGCTTATAGTTAAATTTTAATAAAGTGAAAAGTATAAACTCTACTCAGTTGAGAAAATATAATTTTGAATTAGCTCTTGGGTCACATAAAATGCGGTTGTGTAACTTTTTAATACACATGAGGACCATTTCCCGCATAGTGTAAGTTGCAGAAACATTACTTACGAGTAAGACCATGCGACCAAACGTATTTCTAGGTAATTCAAACACGGTTTAACGAAAAAATAAATAAAAAAAAATAGCAAAATATATTTTTAATAATTGTAACTGATGATTATTCGTCAGGTTATTTATTATTTTTAATTAATTATTAAAACTATTAAAGTTCAAGAATTATACTAAAGTTTTAAACTTTTTTAACTAAAGCTGTAACTATAATTTAGCCTATAGTTGTACCAATATTTTGTTTATTTAACTCCCTGTGTACATAATACATATGTACACGTCATCGTAGACATTTACGTATTATGTTATTGGGTACGTATTTGTATGTATGCGTATACAAAGTGCATCAATTTAATAACTGTACGCGCGGGAGTTAACAAGGTTTGATTTAGTTTGTATTTTTTTTTTTTTCACATCGGTAATAATAAATTACTCGATGGCGGTGGTCTGAGAGTATCGTTATTATGACTGTCAGTACCCGAACCAGTGGAAACTAGATCGAAACCATAATAATTATGAAACTATATACGTATACAATATTATTACAGGTCGAGCACATACTATTTGTGTGTAAGGTACCGTTTTCTTTTTTTATTATTTTTTTTCAACAATACGTATTATCAAAAGTTATAGGAAACAAAATAGTTGATATATCAACACGACTGTTGCATTGCACCTGAAACCAGAATGAAAAGTCGACGTCGAGCATTGCAATATGTGTCTGTAATCGTTCTATATTATGTCATATACATTGCAAATTATAATACAAACGGTTATTTAACAAATCATAATTTTGACACGGTCCCGTACTGATACCGTATTGATTTTTAATTAGCGCTGAACATTTGAATAATAAAACCGACGAAATGTATGAATGATACATCATATTATTAAAAAGTACTAGTGAGATTAACATTTCAATTCAATTCCGTATTGTAGAAACTGTATTTAATTAATAAACTAGTAAAAATACAGAGAACTTTACTACATTTCTATACACACAAAACAAACGTGTCCTGGGTTATTTTCTGAATCTTTATGCGAAAAATATTGTTGAAAAAGCACATATTGATACACACGAAAATTAAAAAATGTGCAAAAAAATCATTACAATATTTAACATAATATAAACTATTGCAATTTACTGTTATTTAAAAATTAAAAAAATAAATAACTATTGATGAATTATTTAAATTCAGAATTAACAACAACAAATATTAATTTTGGAATAAATCCCAACACGAAGTTAAAAAATATGATTTCAGATTATTAAACTGGAAACTTATACCGTTGTTACGTAGTATATAGATATAGATAGTAGTAGTATATAGATTTATACATAGAAAAACATTTTTCTTCGTCACTATTAGCGCATATTTAAAACAAGATATATCTCCAGGTAATAACTCTACAATGCTTTCATTTTCGTCACTTATTTCTCCGTTCAATATTCCAAATTTTTTTTTAATTTGAGAATACCCAAGTTTTTTTAACAATGAAAATATATAATACATAATATATATTGCCGCAGATTGTATAATGTTCATTTTTTTCCATCCGCATTTACATACAACTAAAAAAATGAAGTGCATAAGACTATAAAGTCTTACTAAAAAATCGTATTAGGTACGGCAGATGTTAATTTAGATATCTTATTGGATTGTTTTAAATATGCACTAATAACTAGTGTAGACATAGAACGCAGTTTTTCCTTTTATAAACATATTTTAATAGATTTTTGATAGATGATTGAATTTTAATGAACAGAATTTATAAATATATTTAATTTTCAGTTTTAATTAAAAAAAAAGTAACATTTATCTAATATTTTTTTAATATACTCCTATATCTAATATTTTAACTTTTCCATTTTTATAGTGGAATTCATTATGCAATTTTTACATATTTTTTGGTGCAATTATACAAATTTAATATGCAGTTTTAATGCGTTTTCAATGGAATTAAATCCGGTAATTATTCATAACTTATATAATCAACAAAGTTGCGACATTCGTCGGTTTTATCCTAAATTATACACTAAAACCTAGACGATTTGTTTGTTTTATTATTTTTTCTTTATAAAATCTCAAATACAGTTGTCAACTGGGTCCTGAATTTTTACAAAAAATTTGATTCGAAAGCAGGTACTCTCATTCAATTCCAAGAACAATCCTCCTTTTTGCTTTATTCCAATATAAAAAAAATTATTTGACCAAAAGCAATTTATCCTCTAAGTGTA